CGCCGCGCGGCCCGGGGCGCGGGGGCGGCGGCTGGGCGGCGGGCTGCGGCGTCGCGCGGCCAGGCCCCGGGGGGGCGGGGGGGGTCGGCCGCGGGGCGGGGGGGGGCGAGCGGGGGACGGCGCGCTGGCGCGGCGGGCGCGGCGCGGGGCGCGCGCGCGGGCGCCTGGGGCGGCGGCGCGGCGGGGCGCGCGCGGCCTCGCGTGGGCGGCGCGGGCGCGGGGCCCGTTTCGGGCGGGCGGCGGCGGGGGGGCGCGGCCGCGCGGCGGCAGCGCCCGCGGGGGGCCCGGCCCGGGGGGCGGGCGGGGCGCGCGCGCGGCGGGGGGCCTCGCCGCGCTCCGGGCGGTCGGGTTCGGGGGCGCGCAGGGGGCGTGGGGCGGGCGGGGGCGCGCTGGGGGCGCGGGCCGCGCGCGGCGGGGCGGTGCGCCGCGCGCGGGCGGCACGCGCCGGCGCGGGGGTGGGCGCGAGCGGGTGCCGCGGGGGGAGGGTGCCGCGGGCGGGGTTCGCGGTGTTGGCGCTGGGCGCCCCGGTTCCGTGTGGGGTGCGGGCGACGGCGCGGGGGGCGGCGCTCGGCCGGCGGCCGGGAGGGGCGCGCGGGCCGGCGCGGCGGGCGCCTCGCGGCGCGCGGCGGGCGCGGGCGGGCAGGCGCGGCTGGGGCGGGGCGGGCGGAGTCGCAGGGGTCGCGGGCCGCGGGGGCACCGGGGGGGCCGTCGGGCGCGCGCCGCGCGCGCCGCGCGGGGCGGGGGCGGGCGCCGTTCGGGCGGGGCGCGGCGGCCGCGCGTTCCGGGGGCGCGCGCTTCGCGCCGCGCGCGGCGCCGGCAGCGGGCCTGGGCGGCGGCGGCCGGGGCGGCGGGGGGGGCGCGGGCGCGCGCGCCGCGGGGGCGCGCGAGGCGCCGCCGCGCGCTCGGGGGCGCCGGGGGCGCCGGCGGGGCCGCGGGCGGGGCGGCGCTGGCGGGGGGGCGGGCGCGCGGGGCGGGCCGGGGCGTTACGCGCGCCCCGGGGGGCGTTCTTCGGGGGGGCGCGGCTGGCAGCGGGCGGCGGGGCGCGCGCGGGGGCCGCCGGGCGCGCGGGGAGGACGCGCGCGCGCCGCCCGGCGCCCGGCGGCGCGGCCGGCGCGTCGGCCCGGCGCGGCCACGGCGCGGGGCCGGTCGCGGCGCGGGTCGGGGGCGGCCGGGGGGGGGCGGCTTTGCGCGGCGCGCGCGCGGGCGGGGCGCGCCGCCGCGCCGCAGGGGGCGCGGGCGGGGCGGCGGGGGGGCGGCCGGGCGGCGCGGCCGCCGGGCGGGTGGGCACGCGGCCGTCGGCGGGGCGGCGGCGCGGCGGGGGCGCGCGGCCGGCGACCGGGCGCGCGGTCGCGCCGCGGGACACGCGCGCGCCGGGGGTGGGGCGCGGGGGCCGCGTTTTCGGCGGGCGGCGGGGCGAGACCGGGGCCGCGGGGCGCGGGGCCGCGGGGGCCGGGGGGGCGGCCGTTTCGGCGCGACGGCGCGCGTGCGGCCGGGCGGGACGCGGCTCGGGACGTTTCGCGCCCGCGGCCGCGCGGCCGGCGGAGCGAGGCGGGGGCGCGTCGGTTGCCGGCTCGGGGGGGGCGGGCGCGCGCGCGCGCGCGAGCGCGGCGGCGGGGGCGGGCGCGCGGGGCGCGGCGCGTGCGGGCGGCCGCGCGCGGCGCGCGCCCCTCGCGCGGCCCGGCGGCGGGCGGGGAGTCGGGCGGCGCCGTCGGACGCGCGGCGCGTCGGCGCGGCGGGCGCGGGGCGCGGCGGGCGCCGCCGGCGGCCGCGGCGGGGGGGAGCGCGGGCGGGCGGGCGGTCGCGGGCGCGCGGGCGCCCGGGCCGGGGCGGCGCGCGCTGCAGCCCGGCGGGCGCGCGCGGCGGCGCGGCGGTCGCAGTCGGGTCGCGCCGGCGGGGCGCGGCCGGGGGAGCGGGGGGGGCCGCGCGGGCGGGCCGGGCCGCGCAGCCCGGGCGGGCCGCGGTCGGGTCCGCGCGGGCGGGCGTGCGCGCCGCGCGGGGCGGCTGGGCCGCCCAGCCACGCGCGCGGGCGCGCGGGGGGCGCCCGCGCCCGCGGGGCGGCGGGCATCCGCGGCGGCTCCGGCGGCGGGCGGGGGCGGGGGGCCGGTGCGCGCGGGCGCGCGGCGCGCGGTCGGCGGGCGGCGTAGTGCGGCGGCGCGCGCTGGCGCGGGGGCTTGCGCCGGCCGGCGGGGCCGCGCGGCTGGCGCGTCGGGCGTGTCCGGGGTCGCGGGGCGGGCATGCCGGCGGGGCAGCGATGTTCGGGGGCGGCGGTCCGCGGGGCGCGCGCGGGCGCCGGCCGCGGCGCCGAGGCGCGCGGCAGGGGGGGAGCGGCGGCGCCGCCGGCGGGCGGCGGCGGGAGGGGGCGGGGGGCGGGGCGGCGTGGCCGGCGCGCGTTCGGGGCGCGGCGGCGGCCGGGGCTCGCAGCGTCGTCGGGGAGCCGACGCTCCGCGCCAGGCGCGGCGGCCGGCGAGGCGCGTGGGCGGTCGCGGGACGGAGCGCGGCGCGGGCGCGGGGGCGGGCGGGGCGCGACGTCGCCGTTCGCGGGGCCGCGCGCGCGGCGGGAGGGCGCGGGTGCCCAGGCGGCCGGGCGGGCGGGCGGGGGGGCGGGAGCGGGGGGCGGGGCGGCGCCGCGCGGAGGGGGGAGGGGGCCCTCGCGGAGGGGGGCGCGGGGTGACGGGCGCGTGGGCGGGCCCGGGGCGGGGGGCGCCGGGGGGGGCGAGGGGAGCGCGAGGGGGCGGCGGGGGGCGGGCCGGAGGGCCGCGGCGCGGGCCGGCGGTTCGCGGGCGCGTCGGGGCGGGGGTCGGGTGGCCGCGCGGGCGAGGGGCCTGGGGCCGCGGGCGGCGGCCGGGCGGGGGCCGCGCGGGCGCCGCGGGGGCCGGGGCGCGCGCGTTGCGCTCGGCCGCGGCTGCTCGTGGCGGTTTCGCGGGCGCGGCTGGCGGCGAGTCGGGGCGCGTGTTCGGCGCTCGGCGCGGGGGGGCGGGCGGCGGGGGTGGCCCGCGGGGTCGCGGGGGTCGCGGGACGCCGGGGTCACGGGTGCGGCGGCGCCGCCGGGGCGGTCGCGCGCGGGCCGCCCGGCGCGGCGCGGTCGGGGCGGTTCGCCGCGCCGGCGGGACCGCCCGGGCCCCGCCCGCGCGCGGCGCGCGGGCGGGCGTGGCGGCGGGGGTGGTGGGCGGGCTGGCGGCGCCGGCGGGTTCCCGTGGGGCGGGCGCGCGCGGCGCGGCGCGGGGCGGGGGGCCGGGCGCGCCGCGCCCGCCGGGCGGGCCGGGCGTCTGGGGAGGCCGGCAGGCGGGGATTCGCGGTCGAGCGGGCGGCCGGCTGGCGGCGCGCGCCGCGAGCTGCGGCGGGCGCTCGCGGCCCGCGGCGGCCGCGGTCGGCCTGGGGGCGCGGGGAGGCGGGGGGCGGGGGCGGCCTGCGGTCTTCGGGGGCGCGGCCGAGCGCGGCCTGCGGCTTTCGGGCGGCGCGGCCGCGGCGGGGCGAGCGCGCGACCGGCGCGGGCGGGCGGGGGGGCGCCGCGGCGCGGGCCGCGCGTCGCGCGCTGGGGGCGGGAGGGGGCGCGCGTCGGTATCCCCCACCCCACCGCGCGCGCGCGGTTTAGGCCGGCGCGGGGGACGGGGCCGGGCGGGCGCCAGGGGCGACGGCGCGGGAGGGGGGGGCGCCGCGGGCCGGCGCCGGCGGGCCTCGTGGCGCCGCGCTTTCCGCCGGCGTCGCCGGAGGGCGGGCGCGGCCGGCCAGCGTGCGCGCGGCCGGGGGCGGCGGCTGGCGCGGGCGGCGGCGCCGGCCGCGGGCGGGGGACGCGGCGCAGGCCGGGGACGGCGCTCGGGGGCGCGGCGTTCGCCGACCGGCGGGCGCGGGGGCGGGCGCGGGGGGGGGCGGCGGCGGGTTCTGTTAGGCGGCCGGGCGGGGGCGGGCCGCGGCGCGCGGGGCGCGCGCGGGCGAGCGGAGCGCGTCGGGCCGCCGGGGCCCACGGCGGAGGCGCGCCGCGTCCCGCGTTTCCGCGGCGGCGGGCGTCGCCGGGCTCGTCGCCGGGGGGGGCGGTTGCTTGTGTCCTCGGGTCCCATCGGGTCGCGCGGGCGGGCTGGGCAGGGGGCCGGGCGGGCGGGCGCCGGGGTCGCGGGCGCGCGCGGGGCGCGCGGGCGCGGCGCGCGGGGGCGCGCGGCGCGGCGGGGCCGCGGGGCCGCGGGGCGGTTCCCCGGGGTCGCGGCGGCGGGGCGGGCGGGCGGCGGCGCGCGCAGCGCCGCGGGGGGGGGGCCCGGGGGGCGGCGAGCCGCGGGCGGGCGGGGGGAGGCGGCGCGGCGGGCCGGCGGGGCGGGGCGGAGGGGGCGGGCGGGATCGCCCGCCCGCGCCGCGCACGCGGGCGGGGGGGGGTCCGGCGCCGTCGCGCGGCGGCCCGGGGGGCGCCGGGCCGGCGCGGCGCGCGCGCGTCGCGGGGGGGGCGGCGGCGCGGCGGGGCGGCGGGGGGCGGGCGCGGGCGCGGGGGGCCGCGGCCGCGCGGCGGCGGCGGCGGGGCGCGCGCCGGGCGCCGCGCGACGGGGGGCGCGCGCGGGTCGGGGGCGGTGGTCCGGTGTCGGGGCGCGGGGCGCGGGCGCTGCTCGCCGCCGCGCGGCGGGCCGCGGGTCGCGCCGGCGGCGCGGCGGCCCGCCGCCCCGGCGGGCGGTCGCGCCCGCGGCGGGTCCTCGGCGGCGCGCGGCTTCCGGCGGGCTTCCGGCGGCTCCGTCGGAGTGCCGGGGCGGGCGGGTCGCGGGGGCGCCGGGCAGGGCGGTGGGGTTCGGGCGAGGCGCGGCGGCCGCGGGCGGCGCGGTCCGCGCGGGCGCGCTCCGCCGGGGGGGCCGGCGCGCGGGGGCGGGGGCGGCGCGCGGGCGGGCGTCGGCGGGCGGCCGGCGGCGCGGTTCGGCCCGCGGGCGGCTGCGCCACGAGCGGGGGGGGGGCCCGCTGGGGGGTCCGGATCGGGGGGCGGCCGCGGCCGCCCGGGGTTTCGGCCGGGCGGGGGTGGGCGGGGGGGGCGGCCGCGTAGGTGCCGCGGGCCGCGCGGCCGAGGCGCGTAGCGGGGCGGGGGGGGGACGGGGGGGGCGGGGGAGGCGCCCGGGGGGGGCGGTGGGGCGTGACCGGGGTCCGCGCGGGGGCGGGCGGGGGGGGGGTCGGCGGGGGGGGGGGCCGCCCGGGGGGAGGGGGCGCGGGGGCGCCGGCCGGTTGGTGGGGGGGGGGTGGGGCGGGGGGGCGGGGGGGGCGGCGGGGGGGGGCGCGGTAGCGCGCCGGGGTCCGGGCGCCGGGCGCTCCCGTCGCCCCCGGGCGGGGGGGCCGCGTGGGGCGGTCTCGGCGGCAGGGAGGTCGGCGGGCGGGGGCCGGGGGGCGCCGGGGCGGTGCGCGCGGGGGCACCGGGCGGGCGGGCGGGCGAGGCGGGGGGGGCGTGGGGGGGCCGGGACCCGGGCCGGCGGACCCCCCGTCCCGGGGGGGGGGGGTAGGGCCCGGGTCGGGGGGCCGTCGGGCGGCGCGGGGGGCGGGGGGGGGCCGCGGGGGGGGAGCGGGGGGGGGGGCGGACGCGGCCCGGGGGCCGGGGGGGGGAGGGGCCCGCCCGGGCGGGGTGGGGCGGTGGGGGGGGGCCCGGGCGGCGGGGGGGGGGGGGGGGGCCGGGCGGGGGGGGGGGTCCGGGGGGGGGGGCCGAGGCGGGGCGGGGGGGGGGGCGGGGGGGCCGGTGGGGGCCGCGCAGCCGCGGACCGGGGCGGGGGGGGGCGGGCGCCGGGGCGGCGGCGGGGGAGGGGCCGCGGGTGCGCGCGGGGGGGCGGGGGGGGGGGGGGCGGACGGAGGGGCGGGCGGGCGCGGCGGGCGCGGGGCGCCCGGGCCCGGCGGGCGGGGGGCGGGGGGGGGGGCGGGGGGGGGGCGCCCGGGGGGGCGGCGCGGGGCCGCGAGCGGGGGCTCCGCGCGCTGGGGGGGGCGGGGGCGCGCGGCGTTCCGGGGCGGGGGGTCCCCGTGGGCCGGGGGTCCCGGCTGGACGCGGGGGGTCGCCGCCCGGGCGCCGGGGGGGGGGGCGCGGGGGGCGGGCGATGGGGCGGTGGGGGGGGGGCGGGGGTCGGGCGCCGGCGGAGCGCGGGGGGGGGGGCGGGGCCGGCGGCCTCGCGCGGCGGCGGCCGTCGGGGGGGGGGGGCGGGCCGCGGGGCGCGGGCTGGGGCGCGCGCCGTCGGGGGGTGGGAGGGTCGGGTGCGGGGCGGTGGCCGCGAGGGGCGGCGGGGGCCGGGGGGGGGGGCGGGGGGGCGGTGCCGGGGGGCTCGGGTGGGCGCCCCCCGCGGCCCCCGGCCGCGGGGGGGGGGGGGCCCTCGCGGGGGCCGGAGGTCGGGGGTGGCGGGCGCGGGGGGCGGGGGCGCGGGGGGGGTCCGGCCCGGCTCGGGGGGGACGGGGGCCCGGGGTGGGGGGGCCGGGGGTCGCCGCGCGGCCGGGGGGGCCGGGGCCCGTGGCACGCGGGCGGGGGGGGGGCGCCCGGGCGGGGGGCCACCCGGGGCGGGGGGGGGCGGCGGCCGTCGGGGGGGGGGCCGGGGGCCGGCCGGGCGGGCGGGGGGCGGGCCCGGGTGGGGGCGGGCAGGCGCGGGGGGGTCCGGGGGGGGGGGCGCGGGTTGGCCCGGGGGGCCGGGGGGGGGGGGGCGGGGGCGGGGGCGGAGGGGCGGGGGCGGGGGGCGGGGGGGGGCCGGCGGCGGCGCGGAGCGGCGGGGGGCCGGGCCGGGGGGTCGCGTCAGCCGGGGGCGGGCCGCGGGGCGCTGTCCGCGCGGGCCCGGGTCGGGAGCGGGGGGGGGCGCGGGGGGGGGGGGGCCCGCGGGGCCAGCCCGGGGGGGGGCGGTGGGGGGCCCCGCGGGGCGGGGGGGGCCGGGGGGGCGGGGTGCGGGGCGGGGGCGGCGGGCGGGCGCCGCGGGCCAGGGGGCGGGGGGGGGGGCGGGCCCCGCGCGGCGGGGGGCGGTCGGGGGCGGGGGGGCGGGGCGCAGGGGGGGGGGGGGCGGGTGGGGGGGGGGATCGGGGGGGGGCGGCGGGGGAGCGCGGGGCGGGGGCGGGCGGGCGCGGCGTGACGGGGCAGTGGCGCGGGCCTGGGCGCGGGCGGGGCCGCGGGGGTCGTGGGGGGCGGCGGGGCCGTCCGCCGGCGGGGAGGGGCCGGGGGGCGGGGGTCGGGGGGGGGGCGGGGGCGGCGGGGGGCCGGGACCGGGCGCGCCCGCAGGGGGGGGGGCCGGCGGGTGGGCGGCCGGGCCGCGGCCGGGCGTCGGGCCGGGGCCCGGCGGGCGGGGGTGGAGGGGTGGGGGGGCGCGGCGTCGGGCCGGGGCGCGGGGGGGGGGGGGGGGGGGGGGGGGGCGTGGCCCGGGGGGCGGCTGGGCGCGGCGGGGCGCGGGCGGGTGCCCGCTGGCAAGGGCCGTCGGGTCGGGGGGGGCGGGTGGGGCGCGGGGGGCCGGTCCGGGGTGGCGGCGGGGGCGGGCCCCCCCGGCGCTCGGGTCCGGGGGTGCCGGCGTGGGCGGGCGGGGGGGGCCGGGGGGGCGAGGGGGAGGGGCCGCCCCCCCGGGATCCCCCCCCCCCCCCCACCGGCGGGGGCCGGGGGACTCGGCCCCGCCCGGGGCGGGCGGGGGGGGGGGGCGGGGGGGTTCCCGGGGGGGGGGGGCGGCGGGGGGGGCGCCGGCCGGTGCGGTGGGGCGGGGGGGGCGGGGGGGCGGGCGGGGGGGGGGTCGGTCGGGGTGGGGGCGCCCCGGGGGCGGGGGGGTCGGGGGGGGGGGCGAGGGGGGGGGGTCCTCGGGGGCGGGGGGCCGGCGGGCGCGGCCCTGGGGTTTGGGGGGGGGCCCGGGCGGGGGGCGGGGGGCGGCGTGGGCGCGGTGGGGGGGGGGGGGTCGCGAGTCGGGGCGCGGCCCGGTCGGGGGGGGGGGGGCGGGGGCCCCGGGGGGGGGGCACGCCGGGCGGCCCCGGGCCGGCGGGGGGACCGGGGGCGGGGGGGGGGGGCCCCGGCGGCGACGGCGGGGGGCGGCCGGGGGCGGGGCGCGGGGGGGCCGCCGGGTGGGGGGGGCCGGCGGGGGGGGGCACGGGGGGGGGGCCGGGCCGCGGGGGGGGGGCGGGCGCGCCCGGGGGCGGGGGTTCGAGGGGGGGGCGGGGCGCCGGGGGGCGGCGGCTGGTGGCCGGGGGGGGGGGGGGCGGGCACGGGGGCGGGCGGGCACGGGGGTGGGGGGGGGCCGGTCGGGGCGCCCGGGCGGGTTCGGGGCGGGCGGGGGCGGGGGGGGGGGGGGGTCGGCCGCCGGGGGCGGGGGGTGGGGGTGCCCGGGGGGGCGGGGGCTGTCCCGGGAGGCGGGGGGCGGGGGGGGGGAGTGGCCGGCGGCGGGGGGGCGGGGGCGGGGGGGGGGCCGGCGGGGGGGGGGGCGGGGGGCGGGGCGGGGCGGCCGTCGGGGGGGGGGGGGGCCCCGCGAGGCGTCGGGCGGGCGCGGGGGGGGCGCGCGGGCTGGGGAGCCCGCGGGGGGGGCGGCGGGCGGCGGGGGTGGCCGGGCCGGCCGGGCGGGGGCGGGGGGGGGGGGGGGAGCCGGCGGGCGGGCCCGGGCGGAGGCGGCGGGCCTGGGGGGTGTGGACGCCCGCAACCGGGGGCGCCCGGGGCTCGGCGCGGCGGCGGCGGCAGGGCGGGGCGGGGGGGCCGGGGGGGTTCGGGGGGGCGGCCGGGGGGCGGGGGCCCGGGCCCGGGGGGCGGCGGGGGGGGGGGGGGCGCGGGGAGCGGGGGCGGGGGCGGCGCGGGGTCGGGGTGGGCGCGGGGGGCCCGAGGGTCGGGCGCGGGGGGCCGGGGGGGGGGGGGGGGGGCCCGGGGGGGGGCGGGTCCGGGCGGGGGGAGGGGGGGGGGGGGGGGGGGTTCCCTGGGGGAGGGCACTGGGGACGGGCGGGGCCGCGGCCGGGCGGGGGGCGGGGCGCGCGCGCCCGTGACCGGCGGGGGGGGGGGGGATGGGGCCGCCGGGGGCCGGGGGGGCGGTCGGCCGGCACGGCGTGGGGGCGGGGGGGGGCGGGGCGGGGTCGGGCCCCGGGGGGCGGCGCGGGGGCCGGGCGGCGCCCCGGTCGGCCTGGGCGGTCCCGCTGCCGGGGGCGGGGGGCTTCGCGGGAGGTGCGCCGCGCGGGCGCGCCGGCGGGGACGGGCGGGGGGGCGGCCGGGGGAGCACTCGGCCGGGGGGCGGGGTTGGCGCCGGGTGGGGGCGGCCGGGTGGGGGGGGGGTGGGCCGGTGGTGCGTCGGCCGGGGGGGGGGGGGGGGCGGCCGGCGGGGGGGGCGGGGGGGCGGCTGGCGGGGGGGTCGCCGGCCCGGGGTGGTCGGGGCGGGGCCGGCGGCGGGGGCGGGGCGGCGGAGGGGGGGCCGGGGCGGGGGGGGCCGGGCGGGGGGCGCAGGCCGCCGCCGGGGCGCGCGCCGGGGGGGGGGGGGGCCCTGGGGCGTGGTCCCGGCGCGGGCTCGGCGGGTGGTCGCGTGGGGGGGCCGGGGGGCTCCCGGTGGGGCGGGCGGGCGTGGGGGGCGGGGGGCGCCCGTGGGGGGGGGGGGGGGGGGGGTGGGGCCGGGACCGCGGGGCTGGGGGCCCGGCGGCGCGGTCGCGCGGCGGCCGGGAGGCGGGGCGGTGGGGCCGGCGGCGGGGGGGTCGGGGGCGGGGCCGGCCGGGGGGCCGGGCGGGGCGGGCAGGGCGGGCGGGGGGGCGGTGGGGCGCGGGGGGGGGGGGGGTGGCGCGCGTTGCGGGGCGGCGGGGGTGGGGCCCCGCCCGGGACCGGGGCGGGGGCGCGGGGGGGGGGGCGCGGGGCGGCGGGGGGTCTGGGGGCGCGGGGGCGGCGGGTCGCGGCGGGCGCGTGGGGGGGGAGGGGGGGCCAGGGAGGGGCCGGGGGGGGGGCGGGGCGGCGCGCGGGGTGGCGGCGGGGTGTTGCGTTGGGGGGGGGGGGCGGGGGGGGGCGGCCCGGGGGGGGGCGGAGGGGGAGGGGGCGGCGGGGGCGTGCGGTGGCGCGGGGGCGCGGGGGCGCGGGGGGACGGTGGGCGGGGGGGCGGGGGGGGGGGGGGGGGGGGGTCGCCCCCGGGGGGGGGGGCGGGGGGGGCGGCGCCTGGCCGGGCGGGGCGGGGGCGCGGCCGGGGGGGGCAGGGGGGGGGGGGGGGGGGGGGGGCGCCGCGCGGGCGGGGCGGCCGGGGCGGGGCCGGGCGGTGCGGGGGGGGGGTGTGCGGGGCGGGGGCCGGTCGGGGGGGCGGGGCCCGGGGGTGCGGGGGCAGCGCCGGGCCCAGTGCGGGCGCGCGGGTGGCACCGCCGCGGGGGCCGGCGGTGGGGGGCCGGGGGCCCTCGTCCGGGGTCGGGGGGGCGCGGGGGGGGGCCGGGCGTGGGCGGGGGCCCGTCGCCCCCGGGGCGCCCGGGGCGGCGGGGGGGGCCGAGGGGGGGGGGGGGGCGCGGCGGGCCGGGGGGGGGCGCGGGGGGGCGGGCGTGGGGGACCGGGGGGGCGCGGCGTGGGCGGGGGGGGGCGGGAGCGCGGCGCGGGGGGGCCGCGGGGCGGCGGGGGGGGGGCGGAGGGGGCGGGGGGGCGTCCGGGGGGGCCGGCGGAGGGGGCCGCGGGGGGGCCGGGCGGGGGGGCCCGGTCGTGGGGCGGGGGGCGGGGGGCGGGGGTCCCGGCCGCGGGTCCTGGGGGGCGGGGGGCGGGGCCCGGCACCGGGTCCGGGGGGGGGGTGGCCGGGGGGGGGGGGGCCGGAGGGGGGGGGGGAGGGCGGGGTCCGGGGGGGGGGCGCGGTGAGGTACGGGGCGCGGGCGTCGGGGCAGGGGGGCCGGCGGGCCCGGCGCCCGGGCGGGGGCCGCGGTCCGGGGCCGCCCAGGCGGGGGCCGGGGGGGCGTTCCGGGGCGCCCAGGGGGCGGCGTCCGGCGGGCGCGGGGCCCGGGCGGATGGGGGGGGGGGGCGGGGCGGGGGGGGGGGGGGGGGGGGGTCAGGGGGGGGGGGGGGGGGCGGGCGGGGGGCCGCGACGAGCGGGGGCGGGAGGCGCGGGGGGGGGGGGGGGGGGGGGGGCCGGGGGGGGGGGGGCCCGGGCCGGGGGGGGTGGGGGTGGGGGGGCGGGCGGGGGCGACGCCGGGGCCCGGCCCTCCGGGGGGCCGGGCTCGGGGGGGGCAGCGGGGGGGGGGCGGCGTGTCGCGTCGGGGGCGGGGGCGGGGGCCCGGGGTCCCCCGGGTCCGGCTGGGGGGGGGGCCGGGCGGCGGGCGCAGGGGGGGGGCGGGGCGCGCCGGGCGGGGGGGCGGGGTCCCGGGGCGCCGGCCGGGGCGGGTCGGGGCGGCCGGGGTCCGTCACGCTCGCGGGGGGGGGGCCCCGGGGCGGGTGGCGGGCGCCGGGGGGCCCCGGCGGGGGGCGGCCCGGGGCCGGCTTGGGCGGGCCCGGCGGGGGTTGGGGGCGGGGCGTGGCGGGGGGGGCGGGCGTCGGGCGGGTGGGTGGTGTGTGGCCCCGGGGGAGCCGAGGGGGGCCTCCGGTGGGGGGGGGGGCGGGGGGCCGGGGTCCGGCGTCCCGGGGGGGGCTGGTGGCGGGGGGTTGCCGGGGGGCCGCCGGGGCGGTGGGGGGTCCCCGGGGGGGGGGGTCGGGGTCGGCACCCTGCGCGAGCGGGGGCGCCCGGGGGGCGGGAGGGCCCGGGGGGGCGGGCGGGGGCGGCTGGGCGGGGGCGGGGTGGGGGTCGGGGGGGGGGGGGCCGGGCGGGGGCCGGTCGCGTGTGGTCGGGGGGAGGCTCGGGGGGGCCTGGCGGGGACGGGCGGAGGGCGGCGCGTCGGCGTCCCGGCGGGGGGGGTCGCGTGTCGGCGGGGCGTCCCCAGTGCGGGGGGACGGGGGGGGGCCGTCCCCGGGGGGGCCGCCGGGGCGGGGGGGGGCGGGGGCAGGCGCGTCGGGGGGGGGCAGCGGGGCCGGCGCAGGCCCGGCGCGCGCCGGGCCGAGCGGCGGCGGGGTCGGGGCGGCGGCCCGCCTGGGAGGGGGGGGGCGGGGGCGTCCGGGGGGCGGGGCGGGGGGGGGGCGGCGAGGGGGGGGGGGGGTAGGGGGCGGGGCCCGCGTGGGGGCGGGGGGGAGGGGTCGCCGGGGGGGGGGGGGCGGGGGGCGGGGGGGTCGGGCGGTCCGGGGGGGGGGGGGCGCGGCGCAGACCTGGGGGGGTGGGCGGGGAGGGGTCCGGGTCGCGCGGGCCGCCGGGGGGTACCGGGGCCCGGCCGCGTGGGGGGGGTGGGGGCAACACAACGCACACAAGGCAAAGGGGGGCGCGCGCGGGCCGCCGGGGCTGGGGTGGCGCCGGTCCCGCCCGCGGGGGATAGGGGCTGCGCGCGGGCGGGGGGGGGGGCGGCGGGAGGGGCGGGGGGGGGGCCGGCAGGCGGGGGGGCGGGGGCGGCGGACCGGTCGGGGGCGGGGGGGTCCGGGAGGGGCGGCGGGTCGGGGGTGGGGCCCGGCGGGTGGGGGGGCGGGTGTCGGGCCGGGGGCGGTGGGCGGGGGTGGGGCCGGGGGACCCGGGGTCCCGGGGGTTGGGCCGGGGGGGGGCGGGGGGCGGCGCGGGGGGTGGGCGCCGGCCTGCGGGAGGGGGTGGGGGGGGGGGGGGGGTGGGCCGCGGGCGCCAGGCTCGGGCGGTCGGGGAGGGGGCCGGCGGGGGCGCGCGGGGCGCGCGGGGCGGGCGGTCACCGACGCGGGGCGGGGGCGGGGACAGCGGGGCCGGCGGGCGCGCGGGCGGGTCCGGGGGGCGTGGCGGGGGGGGAGCACGGGGGGGGGGGGCCGGCCGGGGGGGCCAGTCGGGTGCAGGTGGGGGCCGGGGCCGCGGGCGGCGCACGCGGAGGGGCCGGGGGCTGGGGGGGCCGGATGGGGTGGCGCCGGTGGGCGGGGGGGGGGCCCCGGGGCCCCCGGCGGGGGTGGGAGGGGTGGGGGGTGGCCCGGCCGGGGCGCGGTGCGGGCGGCGGCGGGGGACGGGGGGCGGGGGCGGGCCGGGGGGCCGGGGGCCGGGGGGGGGCGTCGGTGGCGGGGGGGGCGGGCCCGGGGGGTCCCCCTTGGCCCGGCGGCGGTCGCCCGCGCGGGCGGTGGGGGGCGGCCGGGGGGGGGCGGCGGGCCGGGGCGGGGGTCGGGGGGGCGCGACGTGGGCCGTGGGGACGGAGGGGGGGGGGGGGCCGGAGTGCCGCGGGGGGCCGCCCGAGGGGCGGCGCGCGGGGGGGGGCGTCCGGGGTTGCGTAGGGGGGCCGGGGCGAGCGCGGGGCGGGTGCCGGGCGGCGCGGGGGGGGGGGGCGCGGGGGTCAGAGGGGGGGGGGTGGGGGGGGGTGGTCCGGGGGGAGGGGGCGGGGGCGGGGGGACGGAGGCGGGGGCCGGGACGGGGCGCCCGGGGGTCGCGACGCCCCCCGGGGGGGGGGGCGGGGCGGCAGGCCCCTGGGCGCTGGGGCCGGCCGGGGGGGGGCTGTGGGGGGGCCCCGGGGGGGGCGGGGGGGGGAGCCGCGCGGTGGGCCGCCGCCGCTGCCGGGGCGGGGGGGGCCGGGGGGGGTGGCGGTCGCTCGGGGCACGGGTCGGGGCCCAGGGTGGTGGGGGGGGGCGGGGGGTGGTCGGGGCGCGGCGGGCGCGCGGGGCGGGGGGGGCGGGGGGCGCGGGTTGGGGGTGAAGGGGGGGCTGCCGGTGGCGGGGGGCCACGAGACGCGGGCCGCGGGGCGGGGCCCGCCCCGGGGGCGGCGGGCGGGGGGGGCGGGAGGCGGGGGGCTGGTCCGTCCCGTGCAGAGGGGGGGCGGCGGCGCACCGGGGCCGGGGGGGGGGGGCGCAGGGGTCGCCGGGGGGGGGAGGGTGGGAGGTGGTGGGGCGTCGGTGGCGGGGGGCCCGTGCGGGGCACAGGGCACCGGCGCGGTCCGGCGCGCGGGGGCGTGGCGTCGGGGGGGGGGGGGGGGCGGGCAGGGGGCCGGGATGGCGCGAGGGGGGTCGGTGGTGGGGCCCCGCGGGTCGGCGGGGGGGGTCGGGGGCCGGGCCGGCGGGGGGGGGGGGGGGGGGGGCGGGGGGGCGGGGCGGTGCCGGGCCGGGGCCCCGGGGGGGCGGCCCGGGGGCCCACGGCCGCGGGGGGGGGGGGTGGGGGGGGGGGCGGGGGGTGAGGGGGGGGCTGGGGGGGGCGGCGGAGCCGCCCGGGGGCGGCGGGGGCAGGGCCGTCGCAGGCCCCGCGACGCGGCGGGGGCGGGGGGGGGGGCGGCCGCGGGGACGGGGGGCCGGCGGGGCCCACGCGTGTGGGGGTCGGGGGGGGGGGGTTCCCCGGGGCGCCGGGGGGCAGGGGGCGCGGACGTGGGGGCAGGGGGCGCGGCCGGGGGGGGGGCGGCCGGGGGGGCGGTCGGTCCCCGCGCGGGCCGGGCGAGGGGCGGGGGGTCGGTACGGCGGGGGGGTTCGGGCGGGGGGGGCGAGGAGGGGGCGCGCCGGCGGGGGGGGGTGCGCTGGGGGGGGTCCCGCCCCGGGGGGATCGGGGGGTCGGGGGCGGGGCGGGGGGGCGGGGGTCGGGGGGTGGGGGGGGGCTGGGGGGCGCCGGGGGTGGGGTGGGGGGGGGCGGTCGGGGCCGGGGCGGGCGGGGCGCGGCGACGGGGGGGGGGGGGGGCCGGGGGGGGCGGCGGGGGGGCGGGGGGGGGCCGGCAGGGCACGGGGGCGGCGGGGGCCGCGGGGGGGGGGGGGACCGCGGCCGGGGGGGGGGTGGCCGGGGCCGAGGGGAGGGGTCCGGGGGTGGGTCAGGGGGGGCCGCGCGGGGCGGGGGGGGGGCGGTGGCGGGCGGCGGCCGGGGCGCGGGGGCGGGGGGGGGGGTCCGGGGGGGGGCGCGGCTACGGGGCGGGGGGGGAAGGGGGGGGGGGGGAACGGGGGTCGCGTCCCGGTGCGCGGGGTCGGGGCGGGGTGGGGCGCCAGTCCGGGCCCGCGGCGGGGGGGGCGGCCCGGCGGGCGGCGGGGGCCGGGGTGGCGGGCCGGGCGGCGGGAGCGGGCAGCGCGTCCGGGACGCGGGGGGGCGCGGGGGGGGGGGGGGGGGGCCGCGGGGGGGGCGCCGGGTGGGCGCGGCGGGCCCGGGGGGGGGGCGGGGGCCCGCGGGCGGCCGCCGTCCGGGCACGGGGGCGCCCCCGGGGCGTCCGGGGCGAGCGGGGCGCCGGGGGTCCGGGGGGCGCGCGTCCGCGGGGGCGGCGCGCGGGTCGGGGGTGGGTGGGCCCCGGCCGGTCGAGGGTCGGGGGCCGGGGCGAGCGGGCCGCTTGGGCGCGGGGGGGCGGCGGGGGGGGGGGGCGTCGGGAGGGCGCGCGGGGCGCGGCCGGGTTGGGGTGCGGCAGGGGCGAGCGGGGGCGGGTCCACCGGGCGGGCCGGGCGGGGCGTCTGGCGGGCGGGGGGGGTCAGGGGGGGGGGTCGGGGAGGGCGAGATCGGGGCTCCGCGGGGGGCCCCGGGGCGGGGGGGGGGGGGGCGGGGGCGCGGCCGGAGGGGGCCGGGGGGGCGGTGGGGGGGGGGGGTCCGGGGGGCGGGGCGCGGGGCAGCCGGGGGCGGGGGTGCGCGGTCGGGGGACAGGCGGGCGCGTTCCGGGGGCCCGGCGGGCGGGGTGGGGCGCGGCGGCGGGCGGTCGGGGGGGGCTCGCGCGGCCCCGGGGGGGGGCCGTGGGCCCGGCCCACCGGGCGCCGCGGCGGGCGGGGTCCCTGAGCCGGGCCTGGCGAGTTGCGGGTGGGGGGGGGGGTGGGGCCAGGGCGGCGTGGGGGGGGGGGCCGTCCGGGCGGCCTTGGGGGGGGCGGGACGGGGGGGGCGGGGGGCGCCGCCGGCGGGCGGGGGCCGGCGCGGGGCGGGGGGCGGGGGGCGGCGGGGGGGGCGAGGTCGTCGGGAGGAGCGGTGGGGGGGGGTCGGGGGGGGGGCGGGGCGGGGCCGCCGGGGCGGGTGGGGGGCGGGGGCCTGCGCCGTGGGGGGTCGGGTCGGGGGGGGGCGGGAGGGGGGTCGCTGGGGGGGGCGGGGCGCCGGCGGGGGCCGGCGGGTGGGGGGGGCACGGGGCCCCCCGGCGGGGGGTGAGCCGGCGGCCGGGGCCGGGGGGGCCGGGGGGGGCCGGCGTCCCCGCCGGTCCCGGGGGGGGCCCGCCCCGCGGGGCGACGGGGGGCGGCCGGGGCGGGGCGCGGGCGGGCGGGCGCTGGGGGGGCGCCGGGCGGTGGCGCGCGACCCCGGGGGGGGCGGGGCGCCCCGGCCGGCCGGGGCGTCGAGGCCGGTCCGTCCTCGCGGCGGGGTCCGGGGGGCGGGTCGGGGGTCCGGGGCGGGGCCGGGGTCGCGACTGTGGGGGGCGCGGCGCCGGCGGGGGGGGTGGCGGGCCGGGCCGGGGCGGGGGGGGGGGCGCGGCGGGGCCGTCCCGCTGGGCGGCGCGGGGTGGGCGGGCGGCGGGGCCCCCGTGGTCGCGGCGGCGGGCGGTCCGGGGGGGGGCGGGCGGGGCGGGGAGGGGGGGGCGCCGCGGCGCTTAGGAGGGGGGGGGGCCGTCGGGGCGTGCGGGGAGGGCGGCTCGGGGGACGGGGGGTGGGGGCGGCGGGGGGGGGGGCACGGGCGGGCGGGGGGGTGCGGGCCGGGGGGCGGGGGCGGGGGGGTCCGGGGGGGCGCGGCGGCGGGGGGCGGGGGTCCGCCGGGCGGGGCGAACCGCGCGGGTCCCCGGGGCCGGGCGGCGCCGCCCCCACCCCACCCCCCGGGCCGGGGGGGGGGCCGGGGGCCGGGGGGCGGGCGGCGGGCGGGCGCGGTCGGGGCCGGGGGGGCGGCGGGCCGCGGCGGGCCGCGGGCGTAGGGGCCGTGCCCGGGGCGTGCTGGCGGTTCGCCCGGCGCCCGTATGGTGGGGCGCGGGCGCGGGGGTGGGCCGGTGGGGGGGCCTGTCAGGGGTCGGCCGGGCGCCGGGGTCCCGGGGGGCGGGGGGGCCCCGGGGGCGGCGCGGGGAGCCCGCCCCGGGGTGGCCGACGGGGTCCGGGGGCGGCGCGCGGGGGGGGCGGGCAGGAGGCCCCCGCGGGGCGGGGGGTGGGCGTGGGGTCCGGACACGGGGGCTTCCGGTTGGCGCGGGGGGCGGGTCCGGGCCCCGGCGGGTGGCGGTCCGGGCTTCGCGGAACCCGGGGGGCCGCGTCGCTCCGGGGGGGGGCCTGCCGGGGGGGGGCGGGGTCCCGGGGGCCGGGCGCCCCGGGCGGGGACCCGGGGGGGGGGGCCGGGGGGCGCCGCCGCGGCCTGCGGGGGGGCCGCCGCGGAGGGGGTCGGGGCTGCGGGCCGGCCGCGGCGCTGGGCGGGCGGGGGCTGCCCGGCCGACACATGAGTCGGCGCCGGGGGGCCGTGGGGGCGTCGGCGGGCGGCGCGGTCTGGCGCGCGGGCCGCCGTTCGGGCGGGGGGGGCGCGGGGGTGGGGGGGGGGCCCCCGGCCGGGGGGCGGCGGCAGGCGGGCCGGGGGGGGGGGGGGGGCGGTCGGTCGCGCGGGGGGGCCGCTGGGGGGGGGCGCGGGGGGGGGCGTCCACGGGCCGGCGGGGGTCGGTGCGGGAGGGGGGGGCGGCGGGGGGGCCGGGCCGGGGGCGGGGCGGGGGGGCGGCGGGCGTGGGGGCGGACGCGGGCGCGCCGGGCGGCGGGGGGCGGGGCGGGCGGGGGAGGGGGGGGGCCCGGGGGGGGGGGGGACCGCCGCGGGCGGGAGGGCCCGCGGGGGGGGCCGCGGGGGGCCGGGGGGGGGGGTGTGCACGGGGGGGGCGGGGCGTGGTGGGGCCTGGCGCGCCGCGTCCCGGGCGGCCGCGCGGAGGGGCGTCGGGGCGGGCCGGCGGCGGGGGCGCGCGGGGGGCCGGGGTCGGGGGGGCGGCGGGGGGGCCCGGGCGCCGGGCCCCCGCGGGGGTCCGGCGGGCGGCCCGGCCGCGGGCGCGGGGGTCCGTGGGGGGCGCGCGGGGCGGGGGCCGGGGGGCGGCCGGTGCGGGGCGGGAGGCGACGCGGGGGGGCGGCCGCGGGCGTGGGTCGGGCGCGGGGGGCGGGCGGAGCGGGCGACCGGCCGGTTGCGCCGGCGTCGCGGGTCCCGGCGCTGCGGCGTCGGGGCCGGCGGGGCGGCGGGGGCGGGGGGGGGGGGGCCGGGGGGTGGTCGGGGCGGGGGGACCGGGGGCGGTGGGCCCACCCACCCCGCGGCCGGGGCGGGGGCCGGGCCGGCCGCGGTTCCGGCGGCGCCGGCGGGCGGGGGGCGGGGGGGGGGGGCCGCCGGGCGGGGTCGGGGGGCACCGCTCCGCGAGTCCCGTGCGGGCGGGGGGCGGGGGGCGCGGGATCGTGGGCGGCCGGGGGCGGGGGGGGGGGGTGGGGGCGGGGGGCCGGCGCCGCCCCAGAGGGGGGCGCGGGGCCCGCCCACGGGGGGGGGCGGGCCGGGGGGGGGGGGGGCCCGGGCGCCGGGGGGCGGGGGGGGGGGCGGCCCGGGTGCGGGGTGCCGGAGGGGCGGGGGGCTGCCCGGGGGCCGCGTCCGGGGGGGGGGGCCCGGGGGGGGCGGGGGGGGGGGGCCAGGGGGCGGGGCCCGGCCGGGGGGGGCGGGGCGCGCGCGGCCGGGGTCGGGGCCCGTCGGGGGCCGGCCGAGGTGGGGGGGCGGGGGGGGGGTGCGGCCGGGGCCGGGCGTTCCGGGGGGGGGGCGGCGCCGCCACGGGGGGGGGCGGGGGGTCGGGGGGAGCGGGGGGCGTCGGACCGGGGCGGGGGGGGGGGGGGCGCGGGGGGGGGGCGTCGGGGAGCGGGGCGCCGGGCCCGGGGAGGAGGAGGGCGCGGGGGCGGGGGGGGGGGGCTCCGGGGGGGGGCGCCGGGGGGGGGGGGGCGGCGGCGGCGCGGGAGGCGCGGGGGCCGGCCCCGGTGCCGGGGGGGGGGGGGGGCGGGGGGGCCGGGGGGGTCGGGGGGGGGGGGGGGCGGGGGCGGGCGGGCGGAGGTGCGAGGGCGGGCGGGGGGGAGGGGGGGCGGGGGGGGGGTCGGGGGGGGGGGTGCGGGGGGGGGGCGGGGGGGCGGGCCCGCGGGCCCGGGGGGGGTGCCCAAGCGGGGGGGGGGGCGGGGGGCGCGGGGGGGGGGTTGCGCCGGCCGGGGGCCGGCGGGGCGGCGGGGGGGGGGGGCGGGACGCGCCGGGCGAGCCGGGGGGGGGGCCGCGCGGGGGGCCGGGGGCGGTGGGGGGGGGGGCGGCGGGGGCGCCGGCCCCCGGGAGCGCGGGGTCACCGGGGGGGGGCGGGGGCGGGGGGGGCGGTCGGCGGGCGGGGGTTGGGCGGGGCGGCGGCCGCGGGGGGCGACGGGGGGCGGGGGGGGGGGCGCGGCGCCTGTGCGGGGGCGGCGGGGGGGGGGGCGGGCGGGCCGACGGGGGAGGCCGACCGGCGGGGCAGGCGCCGGCGCCGGGGGGGGGCGGGGGCGGGGGGCGGGCCCGGGGGCGGGGGGGACACGGGGGGGGGCGGGGAGCGTCGGGGCCGCGGGCGCGGGGGGGGTGGGGCGGCCGGCCCCGCCGGGGGGGGGGGGGCCGGCGGCGGGGGGCACGGGGCGGGCGGGGGGGGGACCCCGGCAGGGGGGGGGGGGCGGGGGGGGGGGGGGGGGGGCGGGGCGCCGGGAGGGGGGTGGAGACGGTGGGGGGGGGCGGGGGGCGGGGGGCGGCGGCGGGGGGGGGGGGGGCGGGGGGGCGGGGCGGGGGGGGGGGGGGGGGGCGGGGGGGGGGCCGGGGCGGGGGGCGGGGGCGGGGCACCGCCACGCGCCCGGGTCCCGGGCCGGGGCGCGGGCGGGGGGACAGGGGCACCCGCCGGGCCTGGCCCGGCCCGGGGGTGGCGGGCAGGGGGCCGGGGGCGTCGGGCCGGGGCCGGGGGGGGTAGCGGGCGGGGCCGGGGGTCCGTGCGGGCGGCCGGGGGGGGCGGGGGCGGCGCGCGGGGGCCGGGCCGCGGGGGGGGCGTTCCGCGAGGGGCTGGGGCGGCCCGGGGCGCGGGGGGGCGGTGGGGGCGGCGGGGGTGGGCCGGGCCTCGCCGGGGGGGGGCCGGGGGGGGGTCGCGGGGGGGACGCGGGCGGGGCGGCGGGGGGGCCGGGGGGCGGGCGGGGGGCGGGGGGGGGGGGGTGCGCCGCCGCGGGGGGCGGCCGGGGGGGGGGGGCCGGGCCGGGGGGTGCCGCCGCGGGGGGGCCGGGGGCGGGCGAGCGGGGGGCCCCGCGCGCGCGCGAGCGCGTCCGTCGGTCGTCGGGCGCGGGCGCCCCCCGTCCGGCGGCCCCGGGGCGGCAGGGCCCGGCGGGGGGGCGGGCGGCGCGGGGGGCCCGGGGCCGGGGGGGGGGGGGGGGGGGGCGCCGCGAGGTCGGGGGGGGGGCGGGCCGCGGGTGGGGGGCGTGCCGGGGCCGGGGGGGGGGGGGGGGGTGGGGCGGGGGGGGGGCGGGCGGGGCGCGGGGCCGCGCCGGGGGGGGGGCAGGCAGGGGCGGGGCGGGGGGCGCGTGGGCGGGGGGGGCGGGGGCGCAGCCCCCCCGGGAGGGGCACCCGCCCAGCGGGGCCGCGCGGGGGGCGGGCCGGCGGGGGCCCCGGCGGGGGGCCGGGGGGGCGGGGGGGGGGCGTGGCCGGCGGGGGGGGCGGGGCGGGGGCGGTGGGGCGGGCCCCGGCGGGGGGGGGGGGCGGCGGGGGGGGGGGGGGGGGGGGGGCGGGGGGGGGGGGGCGGACGGGGGGGGGGGGGGGGGGGGGGGGGGGGGGTGGCCACGGGTCGGGGGGCGGCGGGGGGGGGGGGGTCGGGGTGCGGGGGGGGGGGGGGGGGGGGGGGGGAGAGGGGGGGTCTGGGGGGGGGGAGGGGGGGGGTGGTGGACGGGGGGGGGGGGGGGGGGGGGGGGGGCAGGGGCGGGGGGGGGGGGAGCGGGGGGGGGGGGGGGGGGGGGGAGGGGGGGGGGGGGGAGGGGGCGGGGGGGGGGACGGTGTGGCTGGGTAGGGGGGCAGGGGGGAGGGGGGCAGGGGCGGAGGGGGGGGGGGCACAAGAGACGAGGCAGAGGGGGTGGGGGGGGGGGGGGGGGGG